GTTGCTGAAGCTGTTCTTGCTGCTGCTTCTGCTTCTGCTGCTGCTGCTGCTGCTCTTGTTGCGGTTGCTGCTGCCCTTGCTGCTGCTTCTGCTGCTGCTGTTGCTGCTGCTGCTGCAGCTGCTGCAGCTGGGGGGTTGCAACAGCAAATAAATGAGCAGCAACAGCAGAGAGAGCAGACGCACCCCAGACGTTAAACATTAATAAAGAAAAAGTTTTATTTAATCCTGGATATAATCGAAGTCTCTGACGTAGCCCAGTGCCAGCAGGAGACAAACAAAGACAGAGACGAAGCCTTTTTAAAATGTTGTCTCGAAATATACTCAACACTATCTCCGTGCTGCTGCTGCTGCTGCTGCTGCGGCTGCTGCTGCTGCTGCTGCTGCTGCTGCTGCTTATCAACCCACGAGATACAGCAACAGGCGTCAGGTCTGATATTATCATCTCCACTGCCTCCGAATCCAACAAACCGTGCACCTATACACAAACCCTAAACCCTAAACCCTAAACCCTAAACCCTAATCGGGTCCAATGACCCCTTCTTAACTGCCGATGATTCTTCGTACATCCTACGCCGTAGCCCAAACCCCTCAAACCCTAAACCCTAAACCCTAAACCCTAAACCCTAAACCCTGAACCCTAAACCCTAAACCCCAAACCCCTCAAACCCTAAACCCTAAACCCTAAACCCTAAACCCTGAATGCGACCTCTCCTGTATTGGCGACAGCATCGGCGAGCTCTAAGATTTCTTCATCGAGTATCTGACTCTCATTAATTAAAAAGAGTGTCTCCTGCCCTTCGCTGAGTCCAGCGCTCAGCAGCACATTCTTGAGGTCTTCCTTGAACTTGTTGAGGGCAGCGCTGCTGCGGCTGCTGCTGCTGCTGCTGCTGCTGCTGCTGGTGTTGCTTGTAGAGGATCCGTCATCCATACCGCTGCTGCTGCTGCTGTTGCTGCTGCTGCTGCTGATTTGCTGCTGCTGAGAGCCGCTCCAAGGACCTCCTTGAGTCTCCTTGCTGCCGTCAGCCTGACATTCGAATTCTTTCTGTAGCATCACATGCATGCATATGCTGCTGCTAGATTGCTGCTCTAGCAAAACGCATGCAGCAGCAGCTCTACTGCAGCAGCAGCACTGCTGCAGCAGCAGAGGGGCGATGAGAAATCCTAGTTGTCTGTCTCCTTTAATTGATACTTAGATGAATTGTGCTGTTTGTTTATTTGTCTCTGTTCTCTGTCTGTCTCTTTTTCTTTTGTTATCTCTACTTTTAAGTGCTTCCTTCTATGTGTGAAGTTGCTGCTGCTGCTGCTGCTGTAGCAGTTGCTGGCGCTGCAGCAGTCCTTTATGTGGCTTTGCTTTCTACCCTTTTTCTAGACAAGATAGATACATACAGTTGCATGCATGCATGCATGCATGCATGCATGCAACTGTATGCATGCGACTGCATGCATGCATGCATGCATGCACCCTCCTTAATATGCATGCATGCAACTGCATGCATCTACTATCCTCCTTGATATGCATGCAACTGCATGCATGCAACTGCATGCATGCATGTGTTTGTTTATGTTAATGTACCAAGACGAAGCCCCGAATGCATGCAGCAATTCTTGCAGATGTTTGTTTGCCTGTGGCTCCAACACCAAGAAGAATAACATTTCCTTGATGAAATTTGAGGTGTCTACAGAGAGCGACGATGCGTTCTGCTGCTTCAGGGAAGAAGACAATAGGATTTGCTGCTGCTGCTGCTGCAGCTGCTGCTGCTGCTGCTGCAGTGTCTCCTTCATATCCTGCATGAGGCAAACTTGCTGCTTCTTCGCTGTACTTCTGCAGCAGCAGCAGCAGCTGATCTAAAGACGGGGCTTCTTTATATTGTTGACTCCCGCTTACGAAGCAATCACCCCACAGATTCAAATAGTTTCCTCCCTGCTGCTGCTGCTGCTGCTGCTGCTGATGCGCTGCTGCTGCTGCTGCAGCAGAATAATACAAACGCCTAGCAGCCAAATCTTTCAATAACTCCTCCAGCCACTCTCCTTCCTCTCGGCTCATCAACCGATCTCCGAAGGTTCGCTTGCACTCGTGCAGCCACAACCTGAAATCCCAAACCCTAAACCCTAAACCCTAAACCCTAAACCCTAAACGATAAAGCTCCGAAACACCGCTATTCACGTTTCGTCTTCGGGTTTTGCGTGTGCCGTGATTTGCATAGCTTGTAAAGATCTCGAACGCCCCAACCCCAAACCCT